CCTGGTCTGGGTCAAAACTTTCCCAGAATACACCGCAGTGTTTTCTAAAGAATGGCAGATCAGAAGCCGGCAGCTACTTCGGGGCCAAATATCAAGTTTAAATGTAAGTTAACTAATTGTAGCTATCGGCTGATGTCTAAAATGTTTTTTTTACATCAAAAGCAGTTAGCTATGGTTGGTTAGTTGCTTAGTAGTTGCAGCTTCGGTGGCTAGCAGGTAGCAACTCGCTTATATATTTGATTAAACAAATATTTACATAATTTAGAAAGGGTTAGGTTAGGTTGACCTGACCGCAGCGGAAGCCGCACTCATGTGATGCAAGTCTGTTCCATTTTATGTTTTCTTTGACTAAGGAAGGACAGTACCCTCGCAAACAAGGCGCCTGGCCTTGCAAGACATCGCCTTGCAAGGCCAGGTGCCTTGAAATTTAGAAACACCCCTCGTCATTGCGCTGGAGGCTGCACTGCCAGGGAATTTTTACCCTAATGGCCATCCGCTGGTAAGGTCTTATTCAAAAGCAGCGCTTGCTTGCAATGATTTAGGTATGTACTGCCCCCTCTCACCAGAGAAAATACACATCGTCACTTAAACGCCTCATGGAATAAAAGTCATGCCTTGAAACCGACTGAAACTACATTAGATAGCTGACAATGTTCAGTCTGTTTTTATTGCTTGTTTAATTACTATTTAACTTTTTAGACTCAATCCCATTTCCTATTAAACGTGCGCATCGTTGTCTGCTGCCTTTATGTTACCCACAAACAAAAACCCCAGCTACTAGAACCGATTGTCTTAAATAATGATGGCGTTTATTTCTGTTTCTGTTTTCTCCATGTGGATCTCTGACATCCGTGTGGCCTCACTGACATTATTAAACCAACGTTGCCACAAGTGATGATGGATTAAATCAAAAGATCCCTAAAAACACCAGCTAATTGTACCGCTTAGACCAGTTTTTCTCATTTGGATCAAATCCCACTGGCTTACTGCACGGCTTAGGCAATGACACCTCGTGCATCAAGCGGGCTTTGATTTTTCCCTGTGCCTGTGTAGTTATTGTAACTCTGAGCAAATTCAATCAATTCTCCCTCGTTGCTGCATGAGTTGATGGCTCTTTAATATCTGCATTTCCCCATTTACCTCAGAGCTTCAAACACACAAGTGTAAAGGAATCCAATGCACTCAGAGAAACACACAACAGCAGATGGACTGCACAGACTCCCCCTGGGATCCATTACATATAACAGATCTGGATCCCTGAATGTTAAAGTGGCTCAGCCTGATAAGTGCACTGAAAATTGTGAGTAAGAGGGAGGACAGAAGGTAGCTGTAAGAGCTAGCAAGTGTGTGTGTGTGTGTGTGTGTCTCGATAATGCTATTTCTGGACATATCCCAAGTTATTACTGTAAATCAGGTGGGCTTTCTAGACCTTTAACACAAAGTAACAGTCCCTAACAGCAGCCTCAGGCTGCCATATAGAAATTACATGAATATGGATTAGGAGGGAAAAAATTGGACGGAGGAGAAAGACTGACAGAAGGACTGAGTGAGGTGGAGGGATGGCAGAAATGAGAAAGGAGAGTTATTACGAGGAGAGATAGTGTGGTGGTAGAGATACTGAAAGTGGAAGAACAAGACAGGGAATGATGATGGACAGACTGACAAATGCAGGAAGGTTAAATATGAGAGTGGAGTTTGAGGTACAACACACGAGAAGCAGGTGTAGCACGTGCAGGTGGGAAGAGGGCAAAGCTGGGTCTGCAATGAAAGAATGGATGTGATGCAGAAATGAAATGAATAAAAAGTAAAAGGAGCATTTCAAATCAAAAGTCTTTCACAGCAGGTGAACCTCTGTTCCCCCTGCGACCCCACGGCCGAGGCTCACTTCTACTCTGCACTCATTTGCAAACCAGCTAAATTTATGGAAATGTCTGCTCCAGCGTGGATTTAAAAACTGGACTGGGTTGCCAGATTGCTTATCTATTATGCATCCTTTTTCAAGTCGGAGGTGATCACTAACTGTGATGACCACACCGCTACAGCGGTGTGATAAACCACGGAACAAAAACGGCTTCAGGTAGAATGTTTAGGAGCTAAGTAAAGGCAAGTGGACACGATGGAGCCTCTAAAGCATTCTCCACAACCCTTTTTCCTTTGAAGACCCCCTCGCCTGTGTCCAAGATAAGCCAGGACCCCAACCACAACTTCAGCCCGCATTCACTCATTAAATGTGATTAATTAAAGACTTTATGCAGACATACAGTTGCAACTATTCTACAGGGTTTGATTATACAATTGGGCGTGTTATTGGGATTTTCTAAGACACACAAAATTGTGGGGACCCCCAGTAATCTTGACCCCTTTGGGCGGTCCCAGATCCTAGAATGGGAACCACTGCTCTAAAGGACCCTTCAGAAGAGTTGAGATGGTATCAGCTGCTACAACAAACCCAACGTGGGACAGTAGTATCAAACAGAGCTACAGAAACTGAGGACTATATAACTGGGAAGGTGATTATAGTGATTGAGTGCAGCTGGACTGATTGACTGATGGAAAACAGGTTTGACAAGAGCAGTTTCATCTGGGGTGCCGAGAGGAAATCAATAAACAGTGACAGTGGGAACAAAAATACTTGAAAACAAAGAGACTGATTTAAAGTAACATTTTAGTAACTGTTAAAGAGCAAGTAACGTCTAAATTAACTTTTTTTTTGCTGATGAACTGTATAAATGAGTGTCTAATAGTGTTTTAAATGTGTGTATTCATTATTTTAGCATTTTGGTGCATTTTCTTTAAAAATTAATTTTTCAGCCTAAAAACCACAGTAATGCGCCACCTTCAGCTTAAAACACAGAATTTGACACATTTTGAATAAATTTTAGCCAATGGCTAAAGAGTAAGATACTACGTAAACCAGTAGAGTACTACGTAGCAGCTCTTGTGCCAAAGTTATAAAGCAACGAGAGTCTCGGCCACGCCCTGTGGCGAGTTGGGAGTTGGATTTGCAAGCGAGTGTAGGACGGTTAGCGGTAGTTCAGCATTAGCATATATCATTAGCATATTCTAGTCTTTAGCATAGCTTTTAGTGTTATACATACTTATTTAGTGTTAGCTTGGCTGTTAGATATTGTAGTTTAGTTAGTGTTTAGCTGTTAGTTTTATTAGGAAAGTAATTCAGGTTTAGTGTTACATATCGTTAGCATATATCATTAGCATATTCTAGTCTTTAGCATAGCTTTTAGTGTTATACATACTTATTTAGTGTTAGCTTGGCTGTTAGATATTGTAGTTTAGTTAGTGTTTAGCTGTTAGTTTTATTAGGAAAGTAATTCAGGTTTAGTGTTCCATATCGTGTTAGTATGGTTAAAAGGTGTAGTGTAGTTGGTTGTGGTGGCTCTGTGGGGTTGCACTCCTTTCCACTGGACTTAGAAATTAGGCGCCAGTGGTTGCGCGCAATCGGTGTACTGGAAAACAGTCAGCTCCCGCCTGGTGCTGTAGTCTGCAACCAGCATTTTACCCGCGATTCCTTCGCCAACATGATGGAGTTTGAACTGGGTTATTCTGCACGTCTCCGTTTGAAGAGGGAGGCCGTGCCCACCGTGGCTCTTCCACGAATTAGATGCAGCCCACCGACTCTGCTCCAACACCATGGCGGGCTACAGTCTGAGGTGAGTAAGCTAAATAAAAGTTAGCATCTTCTAAAGACAATTTCCTACCTAAATGCAAAGTTTGAGAGACGTGGTTCACTCCATTTAGCTAATATCAGCCTGCACTGCCTTCGGGCTAATTTGTCAAGTTCACAAAATGTGGAACGGGATGTAAGGTTAGAATCAGCGGCGAATCGGAACATTTCTCAAAGCCCTGGCCGACAAAAAAGGTCCACTTGACTATTTCTGTCAGGCTCGGAGAAAATTCGGGTTGTTTTTGTGTCAGTCGGTAATTCAGCAACAGTGGCTCTAACGCAGCACTAGTTGACAGACATCATTACAGCGTGAAATCCAGCTTTACACCAAAGCCTAACCCGGTTCTGTGAGGAATTCTGTTCAGGAGGTCGCATTTCAGGTTCTTCACATCATATGTGACTGACTTTGACATTATAATAACGATCACACACTAGGAATGTTATAAAGCGCCTATATATATATATATATATATATATATATATATATATATATATATATATATATATATATATATATATATTGGACAGTTTCTTTTGTATATTATATGACTTTATAAACTCCAACAACAATGTGCTTCTATTTTTTGTTTCAGGCTAAATCTACCCAAGACGTTGGCTGTCAGACTGATTTAGTAATCTGCAAAAATGCACTTGTCCAGGCTCATGTAAAGCCTTATCGACGTAGCAAAGGTGAATTATTTTTAATAATCTTCTATGTAAACATTTTATTATTACCTTCTAGTTTTAATTTGTTTTACAGATTATTGTTACACGTGATTTTATGCTATTTTAAACATTTATAAATGTGCTGCTTCTTTGTATTTTACATAGCCACACAGTTTAGAGCTCCCAGCCGCAGTGTGTCTTGTGACACAGGTACCGTGACGGAAATTCATCTTCCACAAAGTCCCAGAGCTGCGTCCACACCCCAAGGTGTCCCGTTTGTACCGGTCGTTGTGTTGTGAACACGACAACAGTCGGCACACTGCTCCGTGTGACACAACGGTGTTCATCCTGTGAGCACTACAATGAATGGTCCAGTCAGCCCATGGTGAACAGCATCCCAGCAGGAAACCTCCAGCTCTGTGCTGCTGTCCTTTTCACAGGCTCATCATTTAGCCAGATTTCTAAGGTATAGGCCAAAACTGTTTAGGTTAGTTTTGATAAGGTCTGTGCGTCTCTCATTTCATGTCGTAACTTTTCATATTTTAGTTCCTGGGTGCCTTCAATGTGCAGGGACTGTCCAAGCAGTCATTCTGTCGGCATCAGGCAAAGCTCTTAATTCCAACAGTGAGCTGGCAGTGGCAGCTAGAGCAAGCTGATGTCATCCAGGAGGCTACTGAATCTGGACCTGTGACTCTTGGTGGTGACATGCGAGCTGATTCACCTGGTGAATACGTTTAAATTTATTTATTTTATTCCTTTGCTATCAAATGTAAATTAAGTAATAACTTGCATTTCTTGAAGGACACTCAGCCAAATATGGCAGCTACACCATGATGGATCTCAAAAGAAACAAAGTTATTGATATCCAACTTGTACAGGTACAACATTACCTGATGATTCCAAAACATTTAATGGTTAATTATTCACAGATCAATGGAGAATTATGTTTATTTTCAGAGCAATGAAGTTGGGAATAGTGTGCGAATGGAGAAGAAGGGATGTGTGCGAAGTCTGAGCACACTTTTGGAGAGGGGGGTCGATGTGCAGCAAGTCGTGACTGACCGCCACACAGGAGTGCAGAAGTATTTGAGGGAGGAAAAAAAGGAAATCAGTCACTACTTTGACCCCTGGCACATGGGAAAAGGTCATCTTTGGGGATGTATATAGTGAATATTACAGGATTTTTTTTTCTATTTTAAATGTGGGTCTATTTGGCTCTCCAGGAATTGGTAAGAAAATCGAAGAGCTGGGGAAGAGAAAGACGACCCAGGATGTGAGACTGTGGAAGCAAAGTGTGGTGAACCACCTCTACTGGTCAGCATCCAGTTCCTCCTCAGGACAGGAGGCAGTTGCAAAGTGGACTTCAGTTGCCAACCACATCCAAAATGTGCACAGCCATGACAACGCCCTGTTCCCTAGCTGTCTGCATGCACCTCTGGATGGAGAACAGGCAAGACAGTGGCTCAAACCAAGTAAGTGTAGCATGTACTCATTACAGCTGAGCCTTTACTGTTTGGTTTATTTACATTTAAAACACGTCACCCCACAACAGAATATTTGTCTTCACCTCCTTCAACATGGAGAAATATTTTTTGAGCATGTGAGTAACAGACATCACATGTAGCTGCTAAGGTCACACACCACCATTTGGCCAACAGCAATTAATTACTAAGAATAAAATGCTGTGCAGAAATTTAAACACACGAGTGCGCCACACAACTCATGGTTTTAGGCAGAACAGCCATAATTGACATAATATGTACTAAAATGCCGTAAGTAATGACCACACCTGTCTACAGCACTATTAGTCACTCTTTCATACATTTGTCATCTAAAAATGTCAGCTATGGGTAACTTTTTCTCAATGGAAATAATAGCAACATTCTAAAGTTGATCAAATTGTAATTTTTGTAATTAACATTTTCTACGTAGGCACAGCATCATGTGAGAAGCTCACTGCCATTCTGTTAGCTCCACGGTTTGTGAAGGACGTAGAGAAGATAAGCCCTCAGTACCACACATCCACCTTGGAGGCTTTCCACAGTCTCATCATCAGATTTACTCCAAAAAGTCAAGTCTTCTCCTTCAAAGGAATGCTGTCTAGGTAATGAATACAACAAATGTTCAAATTAATGCCTCTAATTGTTCAAATTTTAGCATGAAATGTAGAATTTTGCCTCAAATCTACATGGTTTGTTTATTTGATTATTTCAGATTACAAATTGCTGCAATGCACTATAATGAAAATGCAGCACGCTCACATGCAGCAACAGCAACTGGTGAGCTGAGATATGCTGTAGTGTACCCAAAGTACAAACATGGAGACTACACAGTGAGAGCCCTGAAGACCAATCCAACCTCATGTATGTCATATATTGTATGATAAAACCAAAATGATGGTCATGGAGAGCTATTGTAATACTGAAAACCCTTTTCCAGTATATGTGCACAAGCTTATGGACCTGCTGTTCGACTCTGTGGTGGTGGATCCTCTCCCATATCAGGAGTACTCGGACAAAATTACGGTTCCAGAACCGCTCTGTGCCCAGTTCCAAAGACCAGATAAACGGGATGCTGTGAGCAGGCACAGGTCCAGGTTTTAAAGTGCACGTCAGGTGAGCTACACAGGAGATTGTAATTATTAGTTAGTACTCTACTCTGTGTGGTTTCTCCTTTTCTCCTCCTCAGCCAGGCTGCACACCACTGTACGACAGAGGAGTTACCTGTCGTCATTATGGATCTTTATGCTCATCCACTCGTGACTCATGCTGTCCACCTCCCAGATGTCTATTGATCTCTACAACCTTTCTGCTCTGTGGCTCCCATACAACTTGAAAATCTTGGCCGTATGTAACATAGCAAAACTCACCAGTCTTGCTTTTGTAAGTCATACTAGTCATACTAATATTACTTTTTCCTTAGAGCCTCCTGATATTGTTACAGAAAAGCCTGTGCTCCCGGGATCCATCTCCACGTTTGTCATCACAGTGAAAGCTACCTCCAGTCTAAGGAACCTATGAAACATCACTGTTGGCCCAACCTCTCCTCACATGGCTCCAGAATCTCTGCTTGTGGTTTAGAGTTTTGTCAAAAATCTTGAAAGTTATGATCAGATTGTTATCTAACATTGTCTTAGTAGTAGCTATAATAAATGTTATCTTTAAAGCGCAATTGTGTCTTTTTAAATACAATTATATTGATATTTTGATGTGTATAAATACATATATCACATTTATTATCATTCATTTTTACCTAATTGAACCTGCTCTAGAATAGACTTCATTAATCACACAGGGTGTAAACTCACTTGTTACAGCAGCATTAATTAACCCCGAATTAGAACCTTACTGTTGTAAGAGCTCATTTGAAAGTATGTGGCTATATGTGTGTATATATAAATAATGTCAAAGTGTAAAGAAGTGCATTTACCGTTTTGTGATTTATGCAGCTTTTTATGGACAGGAATCAATACAGGAAATATATATTATAACATTTATTTAATCAAAAAAATATATATTAGTTCAGAGGAGTGAGGAATCCTTTGTATGCACCGTCTTCTGGGAACTCCTGCCTTATTCTGGAGACAGCGCATGACGGGATCACAACACGAACGTGCTGTCCCAGGTAACCCCAACACCACCTGACCACATTCCGGTACGCCAGATGTCTGTAACAGCTGAGAAAGAGGTGGTATGAGTTATAAAGTATTCATAAAAAAAGTAATTTGACAGTTGTCTTACCTGTTGAGCGTAGTCTCCTGCATCTCCCTATAGAGTTGCAGAAAGGTGCCATAAACTGCCTGCAACACGTAGGGATTCAGAGCAACAGCCTCAAAACCAGGATGCTCTGTTATGCAGGAGGTTACACCCACCTGCTGACACCTGAGCATTACCTATGACAAAGAACAACTGATATCAGGTCTATAAGAGTTCAATATTAGTATGATGTTAGTGATTGTGTAACAAATGTGTACATTACAGAATGCTTTTCTCATGGTGGGGTACTTTTATTTTTATACCTTGGGCGTTTCTCTGCAGCACACATTTTCTCTGGCAGACAATGATGTGCAGTGGCCGCAGGTGCACCTGTCGAGGCAGTCATACAATATTACTTTTAGCTAAGCTAAATATAGCTAGCTGTGGCTAAAAGCTACTTACCACTCAGAGACTGGACCCATTCGATGCCTTGATACTCCTGCTGGCTCGACTCCAGGGGCCTCTGACAACTCACGAGCTAGTGGCTCAAAAAGATACGGTTCAGGACCGCTTGCTTCCCCCAATAAGCCCTCCTCCCTATCCTCTGGGGAAGAAGGTGGGGAAAAGTCCTCCACCTCGAATGACTGCTCTGAGCTAGTGTCGCTCTCCGTCGCCATCTGTATTCAAATTTCAGTATGTCAATCACGGCCGTAGCTCCGCCTTCTCGGTCTTACAGGAAACGCCTCTTTGGGCCGCATTTTTCAAATATGAAATGTGGGTGGAGTAAGACTCTGAGGAGGCTGTTACCACTACTTTAAGTTACTTTCAATATTTAAGATCAAAGAAATCCAATAAAACACATTCACAACTAAAAATACCAAAGACTAGAAAGATGCAAAAGAACAAAAAACAATAAATTAAATATCGCCTAATTCCAAAATGAAGGACTAACCCTAACCGGAACTCTAACCCAGGAGCTTGGTTTATGTTTGACGCATTCACTTTCCACTTGGTGATGCGGCTCGCGGCTGGAACGCAATTCACAACTTGCAGCGTTTATGGTTCATGCGGCTTGTCTCTGCGGTGAGCCAATATTCTCCCAAACTGTAGGGGGCAGCATGGAGCTCTACGGCATGCATCCAGCACCACACCATAGTAGAAGTAGAAATTACTGTTGTTTACAACACGGCATTCCAGCATTTTTAACAGCGTCCTCGTCTTTTCCGACAGTGCGAGCTATTTCTCTCCAAGAATTATTAACAACATGTTGATCACGGTGATCTTTGAGAGCTGAATCATACAAATGTCTGTATTTACCAACCTCTGCCATACTAGTTCTTGCTGGACCGCCATGCTTTTCCACATCCAACCGTCCGCGTGGTAAGAAAATTTCCTAGGTGCGCGGTGCGGAAAGTTTGGGCCGTTGTGGAGGCGCGGTGGAGGGGCGTGGTTGTTAAAATGACGCAATTTTGCCGCGCGGAGCCGTGCGGACCTCGCGGACGCGTCAAGCATAAACCAAACGTAAGTTTCCTATTTTCTAATTTTTTATGTTTGAATATTTGTTGTAGATAAAGAAAGAGGGAGAATTTCCCTTGAAGAAGTGGTAATTCCCCCTCAGAGGCTTACTCCACCCACATTTCATTTTTGAAAAATGCAGCACCAAGAGGCGTTTCCCGTAAGACCGAGAAGGCGGAGCTACGACCGTGAGTGACATACACAAACTTGAAGCCAGATGGCGACGGAGAGCGACACTAGCTCAGAGCAGTCATTCGAGGTGGAGGACTTTTTTCCACCTTCATCCCCAGAGGATAGGGAGGAGGGCTTTTTGGGGGAAGCAAGCGGTCCTGAACCGTATCTTTTTGAGCCACTAGCTCGTGAGTTGTCCGAGTCCCCTGGAGCCGAGCCAGCAGGAGCATCACGGCATCGAATGGGTCCAGTCTCTGAGTGGTAAGTAGCTTTTTTGTCACAGCTAAAGCTGCATTTCGCTTAGCTAAAACCAATATCGTATGACTGCCTCAACAGGTGCACCTGCAGCCACTGCACATCATTGTCTGCCAGAGAAAATGTGTGCTGCAGAGAAACGCCCAAGGTATAAAAATAAAAGTACCCCACCATGAGAAAAGCATTCTGTAATGCACACATTTGTTACACAATCACTAACATCATACTAATATTGAACTTATAGCCCTGCTTTAATTACTGATATCAGTTGTTCTTTGTCGTAGGTAATGCTCAGGTGTCAGCAGGTGGGTGTAACCTCCTGCATAACTGAGCATCCTGGTTCTGAGCCTGTTGCTCTGAATCCCTACGTGTTGCAGGCAGTTTATGGCACCTTCATGCAGCTCTATGGGGAGATGCAGGAGACTACGCTCAACGGGTAAGACAACTGTCAAATTAATTTTTTATGAATCCTTTATTCATAACTCATACCACCTCTTTCTCAGCTGTTACAGACATCTGGCGTACCGGAATGTGGTCAGGTGGTGTTGGGGTTACCTGGGACAGCACATTCGTGTTGTCATCCCATCATGTGCTGTCTCCAGAATAAGGCAGGAGTTCCCAGAAGACGATGCATACAAAGGATTCCTCACTCCTCTGAACTTGAATTAATATATATATATAGTTTGGATTAAATAAATGTCATATTATATATTTCCTGTTTTGATTCCTGTCCATAAAAAGCTGCATAAATCACTAAACGGTAAATGCTGTCACGAACTCCTCCAGCTGACTCCATTTCCCAGCATTTTCGCCACCATTTCCCAACATTCCCGCCACCAACGTGGCCGCCGACGTCATCACGCCGACACTAAACGGAATTGCCGGCGTTTCATTCATGACTCTGTCATCCTGTCAGGTTTGGTGGCAGAGCTGAAGCGTAGCTGAGATGGTCTGTTGCCCAGACGCGGAGTGGTGGAGGTAAACAGCGTGGTTATATCCTTAAGGTTAGGTTTGAAGGTTTGAAGGCTGGTAAGCCTGAGAACTCGATTCAATGTCTGGTGAGAACAATGACAGAGTAAAGAATGAAACGCCGGCACTTCTGTTTATAGTGTCGGCGTGATGGCGTCGGCGGCCAAGTTGGTGGCGGGAATGTTGGGAAATGGAGTCAGCTGGAGGAGTTCCTGACAAATGCACTTCTTTACACTTTGACATAATTTATATATACACACGTATAGCCACCCACTTTCAAATGAGCTCTTACAACAGTAAGGTTCTAATTAGGGGTTAATTAGTGTTTCTGTAACAAGTGAATTTACACCCTGTGTGATTCATGGAGGTTTCCTGCTGGGATGCTGTTCACCATGGGCTGACTGCACCACTCATTGTAGAGGGGGTTTACTAGTTAAGCTACTGAACATTTGCATGTGTCTTATTTTGAAAACTGCAGGATATGTCGCGTTGCATTTGTGTTTGACTTCCTGTCTGGCCTGACATGAGCTGCTGGCCTCGATGCATTTTGGAAGCATGTAAAACTAGAGCTGAGGTGTAAATTCACATGGCGCTATACCGCTTCATGGCCAGGGCAGCATATTATGCTTAGCGAGCGTTACACAATGCTAATGCATCTGCCAAGGTTAGAGATGTCAGTAGTCCAGATTTTTCAAGTTTTTAAAATCCCACTTTCCTTTATTGCTGAGTCATCCGTTTGCACACAAACAGACTCGTGGTGAATGCTAGACATGCAGCAGCTTGGCGGTAAATCAGTGGTGGTACTGGTGCTTTAACACGAGAAAGAGCTGGTGGTCACACTGCCAAGATATCAGTTTGTAGGACAAATACTCAAACAACTGACTGAGTCTTGGCTGCTTACAGATGCTGGCCTCTTCCCCCGAACGTCCCTTCTGTTCTAAGTGGATCACTCCGACGGTCCAAACAGTGGACTCCATTTTACAAATCTGCTGCTGATTGATTTGCTAAAGTTGTACACACCCCTTAGATCAGCCGCTTTGCCCAAAAGATACAGGCGTGGTGGGGATTTTAAAGGATCCTGGTCATAATTCTAACACTGAATCTGACTTTAAACTCTCAACTGCTGTTGATCTTGTCTCATTGTCTGGAGGAATTTCCATTTTTGAGGATTCTGAGGTAAAGATAAAGATAGAAGCTTTCTGTTTGGTTAAGGTGCACTTAAAGCTACACAATGCCGTGTTTTCTGAATTTTTAATCATTTTTCTGAGCCAGTGTGTTAAAATAATTAAAACTGAAGTCCCATTAGTCATCCTACACTGGTGAAATTCATCTGAGCCAATCCCCGTGGGGAGCGGTAAACTGCAGCCATGCTCGCAACGTATTTGGTGGATTTTTCCCTCAACCCAGTCCCTTAAAGCTGAGAGTCAAGCAGGGAGACGTTGGGTCCCATTTTTTGACTCATTC